AAGTGGTGGTGGGAAGTGGTTGGATAGAATCTCAGTAACTTTTTTTTTAAAAGAGTGATTTAATTTATTATTATTTTATTTTTATTTATTTATTTATTTTAATTTGACCAGAGAGGGACAGAGTGAGAGAGAGAGAGAGAAAATGAGAAAGGAAGCCACCATGTCCAGGACTCCAACCGTGGTCAGCCATGTGTAAATCCAGGCCCCTTAATCACCACGCCACCTACTGGCCCCCAATTTATTATTATTTTTAACTTGCTATAGTCATCAGAGACAGATGGGGTCAATGAAAAGTGAGAGAGCAAGCTGCCAGATATGGGACTCAAACCATGATCATCCATGTGGGAGTCCAGTGCCCTAACCACAAAGCCACCTGCTGGCCCCAAGGTAAGTGAGTAGAAAGGCAAAGAAACTAGTGTTTGAGATGAGACTTAAAAGACTCTCATCTTTTAAATTTTTCCAATTATTTTTTGTCATGGTAAAATACATATAATTTTTTTTAGAAAGATTTTTGCTATAGGGCATGAACGCTCACAAGAGAGAAACAGAAAGTGAGAAATCACCTCCTGAGGGAATGATCACACTGCAATCTCTTCTTCAGTTCTTCAAATCTTGAGCACACGTGCATATGCACGTGGCATGATTTCCTTTTCTTTCTTTCTTTCTCTTTCCTTCTTCCTTTTTAAATAAACTATTGTTTATTTTCCTTAAAACTTTATTTCCACTTTGTATAAGAGTCTGCGGAAGAGCAGGTTTAAGACCACTCAGTGGTAGTTTCCACCCATTCAGTGGCCTGCAGACCAGACTTCAGTGGCAGGCTGAGAACTCCAGTCTTCAGTAGGGAACTGTTGGGGGAACCAGCAGTTAGCGTAATGGCCATGTCGCTGGACTCCCACGTAGTCGACCGCGGTTCACGTCCTGGACCCGGTGGCTTAAAACTCACACCAGGCGCGTGTGCATGCGTGCCCAAGATCCCGGGAGGAGAATGGAGGAGAAGGGATTGCGGCGTGACCATCCCCCCTGGGGGGCGATTTCTCGCTTTCTGTCTCTATGTCTCTGACTGTCTGGCGAGCACATGTGTCCTGTAGTGAAAACCCTCTCCAAAAAAAAGAAAACAAAGTAGGGCACTGTTGGATGGGAATAGAGAGCACCTGCCTTCAGACTAGTCTGTGACCTCACGCTGAGTAGCAGTGAACTCAGGATCTAGAATAATCCGTTAACCCTGAAATTCCTCCCTGGTCACAGCCTTGCCAGTAGTGGCTTATGCTTCCTTTTCAATCTCTTCAGAATCTTTGTAGAAGTAGAAATCAGGCATGACCTCCCATGAGTGTTCATTGGAGATGGTGTCACGCATGTGCAGAACTTCCCTGGCCAGCATCCATTGCATCAGACTCACCGAGTGAGCTCCCTTGTTGTTGCATGGGATGGCGATGTCCACACAGTGCAGAGGAGAACCTGTGTTGCACAGAGCAATGGTGGGTGGGTTAGCACAAGATGCCTCAGTGAGAGGCTGGTCGTCGGCCCTGAGATCAGAAACCACCAGAAAACACAGTTCCCAGAAGGCTGCCTCGGTCTGGTTAAGGAAGGGTCCAGGAGTGAAGCAACCAGCAATAGGAGTGGCTCCAGTGGCAGCAGCAAACTTCAGCACAGCCCTCTGCCCAGTGTTCCTAGAAGACATGACACTGACGTCAGAAGGATTTTCGGTGGCAACAATGGCATGAGCTGCCAGCATCAGCTTCTCCCAGGTCCTCTTCAGATTTGTGACGTAGGTGCCATCATTTTCCCTTTCACAGATGTACTGTTCCATTTGGAAGTCAAGGTTGGTACCACCTAAGTGGGTTCCTGCTGCGAGGAATTTGAGGACATCCTCCTTCATTTGCAGGACATCCAGGGCTCCGAACATTGTGAAGTTTCCCTTTAAGATACAAGGGGAAGGGACCAGCAGTTAGCGTAATAACTATGTCCCTGAACTCCCATGTAGTCGACCGCGGTTCAAGTCCTAGACCTGGTGGCTTAAACTCACGCCAGGTGCGTGTGTGTGCATGCCCAAGATCCCGAGAGGCGAATGGAGGAAAAGGGATTGCGGCATGGCCACCCCTCCTGGGGGTGATTTCTCGCTTTCTATCTCTCTGTCTCTGTCTTTCTGGCGAGCGCACGCGCCCTATAGCAAAAACCTCTCCAAGAAAAGAAAAAAAAAAAAGATACAAGGGGGAATGCAGAACAACATTGTATGGACCCTTGTGCAGTAGTGCAGAACGGCATGCCTGGCATGATTTTCAAACCAACTGGGTCCAGGACTCAAACCACAGTGGGTCATGTGAAAATCCAGTGATGTAATCACCACTACGCCATGTGCTGGTCCCCATCTTAACCATATTAAGTGATATTCATGTAGTTCAGTGGTATTAAGTGCACTTATAGGCCCAGCTATGGTGGCCACAGATGGTAGGGTGCTGCTGTGCAATGCTGGAGTCATATGGAGAGGCCTGGGTTTCAGATCCCAGGCAACCTGAACATGCCAGGTGCTGGTGGGCACAACCATGATCCTCTCTGGTGAGAAGGCTGTCAGATGATGCAGGTATGGCAAGACCGTCAGAGGTCCCTGTTGCTTTCTCTTCAAATTAAAAAAATTCTAAATAAATCATTTATAAATGTAGAAAACATTAGTACCATTTATCTCCACATCTTTTAAAACTGAAACTTGACAGAAAGTAACTTTCCAATGCCCCCCCCAAAACAAGCACTATTCTATTTTATATCTCTATGCTTCTTTAGAGAGACTTTTGCTATAGGGTGTGTGCACTTGCTAGAGAGACAGAGACAGAGACAGAAAGTGAGAAATCACCCCCTGGGAGGATGGCCACACTGCAATCCCTTTTCCTCCATTCTCCTCTTGGGATCTTGGGCATGCACACATGTACTTGGGCACGCACGCACACGCGCCCGGTGCGAGTTCTAAGCCACCGGGTCCGGGATGCGAACCGCGGTCGACTACGTGGGAATCCAGCGACATAGCCATTACGCTAACTGCTGGTTCCCTTTTTGGAGAGGTTTTTGCTATAGGGCGCGTGTGCTCACCAGACAGACAGAGAGAGACAGAGAGACAGAAAGTGAGAAATCACCCCCCAGGGGGGGATGGCCATGCCGCAATCCCTTCTCCTCCATTTTCCTCTTGGGATCTTGGGCATGCACGCACACACGTCCGGCGTGAGTTTTAAGCCACCGGATCCGGGACGCGAACTGTGGTCGACTACGTGGGAGTCCAGCAACATAGCCTTTACGCTAACTGCTGGTCCCCCTGGTGTGACTTTTAAGTAACCAGGCCCAGGACTTGAACCACGGTCAACTATATGGGAGTCCAGTGACGTAATCATTATGCCATTGGCTGGTCCCACTCTATGATGTTTTTCATTTCTCCTATTTTTTTCCTATGAGGTTTTTGCCATAGGGTACCTATGCTTGCCAGAACGGAGACAGACAGACAGACAGTGGGAGGGAAAGTGAGAAATTACCCCCCCTCCCGTGGAGTGACCATACCACAATCCATTCTCCAGAGATTTTGAGCACACATACATATGCACCTGGCATGATTTTTCAAGCCATTAGGTCTGGGACTCTAACCATGGTCAGCCACGTGGGAGTCCAGCCCCTAAACCACCATGCCACCTACTGGCCCCATATTTCCCTTTTCCTGAATTGCCACAGAGCATGTGTGCTCACCAGGGACAAAAAGAGGGAGAGGGAGAAAACACCCTTTAATGGGATGCGATCAGCATGATCAGCATAATCCCTTCTTCCTCTCTCCATCCTGTCAGGACTTAAGAAACACACACACACACACACAAAAACACGTACAGAATATTTTCAAGTCATCAAGGGCAGGATTTTAACTGTGGTTAGCCATTTGAGAGCCAGCTGCCTTAACCATTAGCCTACAGGGCCAGCTTGTGTATCTCTCTGATTTTTACTATACTATACATTACATAAGTGGAACCACATAGTACTTTTTTTTTTTTAGAGGTTTTTGCTATAGGGTGCATGTGCTCACCAGACAGACAAAGAGAGAGAGACAGAAAGCGAGAAATCACCCCCGGGGGTGGGGATGGCCATGCCGCAATCCCTTCTCCTCCATTCTCCTCTCGGGATCTTGGGCACGCATGCACATGCTCCCAGTATGCGTTTTAAGCCACCGGGTCCAGGACTCGAACTGCGGTCGACTACTCCAGCGACATAGCCACTACGCTAACTGCTGGTCCTTTGTTTTTGTGACTGACTTATTTCACTTAATAACATCCTCAAGGTTCATCAATGTTGTAAAATATGTCATAATTATCTTCCTTTTATTTATTTTTTTCTTTATGAAAGAGAAAGGAAGTCCTTGGCAGGATATCTTTCTGTGTTGCAACCCTCCTGCCCCAGCCTCCTACTTAGCCAGAGAGTACAAGTACAGCTGTACTCAGGGTATTCAGGTTGCCCAAATAATCAGACTGGAACACCCATGTGGCTTTCACACCCCAAGTGGTGGCATTACCTGTGTATTACTGCAGCTGGGCCACAATTTCCTTCCTTTTAATCCTCCAATCTTTTTATTTTAATTATTTCATTTATTCCATAAGAGTGAGAGACAGAGAGGTAGACAGAAAGATAAGCACCCTAACGGGGCCTCATGCCATGATCCCTCTGCTCAGGGATTTTGAGTAGAACAGCAACATGGTAAGAATCGTGCTTTTGAGCTTCCTCTGGCCACGGTGTGTGGGTTGTACTGGAACAAATCAAAATCAAAAGATAAAATCAGCAATGAGAATGCTGCAATCCTGCAGGCAAGAGGTAACAAAGGCCTGGGTCACTAGGAGCAGAGAAACGGAGTCATGTTTGAGACTAGAAAGACTAGAATCTGTATGGCTTCATGGTTGATTGCATATGGCTAGCAAAACTAAAAGTGTATCAAAGTCTAAATTCTTAACTTGGGTTAGTAAGTATAGTAAGTAAGTTAGTAACTATTTTATTTTAATTTGTACAGGATATGTACACTCACTAGAGATAGAAAGGGAGAAGGAGAGAGAAAGAGATGGAGAAAGCATCCCTTGTGGGGAATGGTCATGCCACAATCCTCCTCCTTTTTCTCTCCATCCTGCTGGGACTGTGGGCATGCACACACATGGGCCTGGTGGGTTTTTCACACTGCTGGTTCTGGAACTCGAACTGTGTGGTTAGCCATGTGGGATCCAGCTGCATCAACTACTAGGCCATGGGTTGGCCCAGTAAGTCCAGGTCTTATTTCCACTACAAACACCTTACTGCAGGTTACCATCATCTCTGGCCCAGGTTACAACTCCATTTTTTCCCCCTCTTAATCTGTTACTGCATTGCTAACAGAAATATCTGAGACTGGGTGATTATTTATAAAGAATCAAAGGCTTGCTAACTTAATGGTTCTGGTGGCTGGGAAGTTTGAAGATCTAGGCCTGGGATAAGGCTGGCTGGCCTACCACACAATGGACAGAAACAGGATGGCAGGCACGTGCAGAGAGTGAGCAAGCCAACTCTGGGCAGCTCCCTAGTCTCTAATAACCCACTCTCACATGAACTAACCCCTTCTCATGAGAACTAGAACTCACTCAGTTCTCTTATGAGACAGCATTGATCCATTCGTGAAATCAGCACCTCCATGATCCAATCACCACCCACTTAGACCAAAATCAAAACAAGAACCTCTAAGGGACAAATTATTATCGAAACCATACCACCACACAATCAATTATCCTCATAACAGTTGGATTGATTTTTTTTTTAAATGGATTCATCTTAAAGCATGAATTGGATCAGTTTCTCCTATTTTCAATTTTTCAGTTGCTTCCAAAAGCCTCTAAGTTCCTTACAACTTTTGCTGCTCTGGCCCCTCTAGTTGAATCTCCCGCCACTTTGCCTTGTCACCACACTGTCACTGGGACTTTGTAGATGCTGGTCTTATACCTGGAGCCCTTCTCCCCATCTTATCTGTTTGTATAACTAGCTTTCTCATTCTCTGGATCACAGCTTAAATGTTCTCTCCTTTCCTAACCACCCTATGGAAACCAGGTTCTGCTTGTTATCATCTATCTCAGCTCAGATGACTCTAGAGCACTTACCAAAATGGAAACATAGAAGCATGTATTCATTTCTATTTTGTGTGTCCTCCAACGGTAAACTGCACAGAAGGAAGAGATCTGGTTTGTCTTGTTCTGTTTTTGCTTGGTGCTGGCACAGTGCAGCACATTAATACATATGTTTCAAATGAATGAATGAATTAGTGAATGAAGGAGCTTATGAGATCATTCATCAGAAAACGTCATGTGGCATAAGTAGGTGTAGAGAAGTTGTAAGGCTGCCTGTGGCCTGGTGGATAACATGGCTGGATCCCACATGGGCCAAGTGTGTGGCTTGAGTCCCAGACCTTGTGATTTGAAAAACTCACTGGGTACATTTGTGTGCATGTACAGAATCTCAAAAGGAGAGAAAAATGGAGAAGGGATTGCGATGTGACCAGTATGCCAGCAGGGTGCTTTCTCATTTTATCCTTCTCTCTGTATTTTTTCTGTGAGGACATATGAGCTCTGGTAAAATTTAAAAAAAGGGAAACTTAAAAAAAAGAAAGGTGCCAGTCAGTGATGTGGTGGTAAGATGGCTGGATCTCACACAGTCAACTGTGTGGTTCAAGTACTGGACCAGGTGGCTTAAAAAACATGCTTTGTATGTGTGTGAGTGTGTGTGTGTGCATGCGTGCATGTGTATATGTCCAAAATCCTGAAAGTAGAGAGGGAAGTGCAGTGACCATCCCCCACAGAGGGTGCTTTCTCACTTTCCTATTTTTTCTCTCTGGTGAGCAAGCACCTGCACCATCTGGCAACTTAAATAAATGAAAAG